ACTATCAACAGCAAAACGTCTACATGTACAAAATGCAGAGTGTATAAACAGTGAATAATGCATACTAGCGCTCGATCCAGCGTGAAAAATATCGCAACTGTGCATCAGCACATAAACGAAGATAGGAAGCGGTAATAGCATATTGCGGAACTATTTAACCAATAATCAAATGAGCTGTACCGAGTAGAAAAAAGGGTTCTAAGTATGAATTTTTTGAGCACAGGGTATATTAGACTTACGAATACTAAAATCGCTTTCGCGTGAAACACATCTTCCCCAAATGCGTGGTACTAGCATTCCACATCACAGCAATGCAGGGAAGCGGCGTGAATGTACGGGGAGAAGAGACACTACACAAGACATTTCAGTCACTAACCAATTATGTACCAAAATACAAAGCGCTACTTTAAACGCAATCAAGCCGCTAACAAGCCTAGAAACACGAGCTTAAGAAACTATAGGCGTAATCGAGGTTCATTAGAGTACGTAGCGGGAAGGCAACACCGACTTAGGAAGGAGGCTGTATTTGTACAACAGTGTTCACGTTTAAGAATCAGGCCTACTCAATCATTCGTGATTTCTTAGCGATATATAATACATTATCCTTGGACATCTGGAAAAAGGGGAGAAAATAAACCACGGAAATCACGTGGTTAGGTGGTGTTATATAGCATTCTTTTTTTTAGTAGACGGCATCATGTTTTTGTTTGATTGGTTTCGACAGTGTTTAATACTGAAGGTGTTCGTGACTCACGAGTCAAAGTAGTTAGAAATGGACATTCAGATTACGCAAAGGTTTGAGAAAGTGAAAAGTGTGACGCAGTGCATTCCATCTATGTTAAACATCTATGTAAAATTTTCTCACTTTTCTGTCCTGACAGTCTGCAATCTCATTTGCACTAAAAAAAACAACAACTTTTTCTTCGCATCAACTCACGAAAGCTACACGCGCTGTATGCGAGGTAGACTCGAAATCCAAAAAGTTTGACTTCTCCTTCAAGCTGGAGTAATCTTTATCGTTTTATTTGACTCCTTTTAGAGAGTTAGTAATCATACCAGAGGTGGAGTACTCTCGGTTGATAGGGAGTGAAAAGACTCTGAGTGAACGATAACTCCACGAATGGAGCCAAATAAGCTGGCAAATGACTTACTCCTTCATAAAATAGTAACAAGAACTGTGTTTTTTCGGAGTGTAGGTACTCTCTGACCGATCTCTGTCGGTGTATTGTAGAGCATTACTAACTAGACAGTACTACCTGGTTTGACTGTAGGTGAGTATTCGCGCTTGGTCCATTCATTACCACAAATTTGAGGCTACACTACGTGGTGGTCTATGTTACACAGGGGGAAGGTAATAGTAGAGATATATATTATAGCGAGAAAAGGCTTGCCCCATGAAACAGCACAATGTAGACCACGTGTTCCCGCGACTGTGTCACGTAGACTTCTGCGTGTGGTCTATATCTCTCAAAACATGTCAGCAATAGTGTGGTATCTGTTTTCACGAGCACTCACACACACCTCAAGCATTAAACACGTAGGGGCAAGGTTACAACAAAGATATCCTAATTAAAGGAAATAAGAGAGACATGTTCTGTAAATTTGTTTGTAAAGTGCACTAGGGAGATTTTCGTGGCCGAATGAATGAGTAGTCAAAAATCAAGCGCAGGGTCATTAAGATAACGTGAAACGTTACTTAATGCGAATCAATCATATTCATTGGTCGATTTGTCTGTGCATCTGCCTTGCGGGAGAAGAGAGGTCAATTGATTATTTAATGCGGCAATTAACTAGCTGCATCTTACAGGCCAGATTACTCATTATTCGAGCATTTCACGGTTTATTTTTCAACCTGCACATTCCATCAAACGTCCTGGTCTGAATGTTCAGCCCGTGAGCAAAAACTGGACCACGTACGGAGGCACGTGCCGAAACCGCCATCTAGTGGCACGTCATTTGCTAGCCGAGGGCACTGCTCTGATGGATTTAGTCAGAGTAATACTCTCGACCACAGATGGTTTGCCACCAGACGGCGCAGACGGCAAAAGCACAAAGGGAAATACTCCATACACTTCTGCTCAGCTGGTATACGTTTATTCGTGATTTGTGGTATCTACTATTTGTTTGTTGTAGCGCATTTGTTCTTTACCAGACAAGTGCTAAAATAATCAAATAAATAAATAAATAAATAAATAAATAAATAAATAAATAAATAAATAAATAAATGTCCCCAGCCTATAGTGTAACAGAAAATTCGTGGGCCTAAAAATTGTTGGTTTTACCATTAATAATGTAGACGTCCTCTCTGCACTAAATATGTGTACTTGAATACCAAATTTCCAGCAGGTCCTTTGTGTGTGTGTGTGTGTGTGTGTGTGTGTGTGTGTGTGTGTGTGTGTGCTCATTGCTATATGTGCTAATGTGAGCATATCCAATCAGCCTCATGGTTCAGCCTGTTGAAATGAACTGCCTTATTAACAGGTGTGGCGTGAACCGAATTAAAGCAGGAGGTTATCCGTGAGAGAGACGTGAGAACACCGGCGCTCTGTAAGCGTAAAGCGATGAAAAAATATAATAAAAAGCAGCCAACGTATCGAGTTCGTAGGCGGCGTCGCGACGCTTGGCGCGCGCAGCCAGTGACGTGGCCGAAGGGGGAAGCTCGGGATGTCGTATGTGTAATATTACGGGCTGCCCGCCGCTTGACACCGAAAGCACGACAGAGTTTCACACACACACACACACAAAAAAAAACACACATGCAAGCAGACACGGAGGGTTCCTGGCGGTCATACGGTTTGCAGTTTTTTGCTGCATCGAAGGCCAGGCCATAACCTTCGCTTAGTTGTGCGCTGAATTGGCTGTTTTGTCTGTCCTCGCGTAGTCTCGTGCGAACGTTACCCGAGAAAAATTTGGCGTCGGTGAAACGGTTTAACATGGGAACGTATATGCTACGTCCAGCGAGGTAATGTGAACTCGACGGAAACGTCACGTTTGACAGTCATACCGTCACCGAACAATTTGGTATAGTCGTGGTTCGAGTTCCGAAAACCGTGATGTGATTATGAGGGACACCGTATAGGGGAGGGCTGAGCGAATTTCGACCACCTGCGGCTTCTTAACGTGCCACCAAATCTAAGCACGCTGGACTCAAGCATTTTCACCCAATTTAAATCCAATTACCGCAGTCGGGATTCGATCCCACGACCTTCGGATGAACAGTCTAGCACCTCAGCCACTTGACCACCGCGTCAGGTGTGCAACATTGCGTGGTGGTGCATAGGCCTCCCGCTTTCGCCAGTGCTATAGTGGTGGCCCACCTCACTGCTTGTCCGGTAACCTACGCCAATCAGATTCGTGGTTCCCATTACATTGCCAGCATGGCCAAAGGCTTCAGCCAGAGTCGACTGACATCACTACTGACGTCAAACGTGACGTTCCGATTGACGTCACGTGACCCCTAGATGTTGGGGGCCCAAACGATCTCCCGTTCAAGAGAACGTCTTCGTAACGCTGCAGAAATTTGCGAAATGCGCTGCGCGACAATAACAAGCCATTTGATTGATGACCTTAATACTATCTTACCGGTAGCTGGACTTCGCCAACTCTCGGCTTTTTCGCTAAGACGAGTTACTTGAAATGCCATAAGAAGATAGTGCGCGACCAAAGTGACCAAGGTACACATAGTGGACAGGTCTAGCTAATTTTGTGCGCAAATACGTATATGCTGTTATACACGAAAATCACTTAGTTACTGATTTTTTTTGTAGCATATTGTTACAAGAACGAAGCTTGATACTGATATCTAGTCACGTGGTCATCGTTGCGGCTCTTTCAATGCTATCATGTTTCACAATGGTTGTTTCACCACGAACCACTATAGCGTAAGTGTGTCATTTTTGGTCTTTTTATTTTAATGGACGAACGTCCTCTAATATTCTAGCATCTTGCTTAATTTTCGATTTTTTTGTACGATCTTCTTGCATGTCGAAAATAAAAAGCAAAAAAGAAAACCAGGGCGCGTTTTGATATGCGTCAAGCGTGTTCGAAAAGATCACATTGGCGCATCACTCGAAAACCGAAGAGTGCCCATTGCAATTGAAAAGAAAATCACTTTATTGTGCGTAATATTGTCGACACATTTTCACAGTGACGCCATTTTCAGTTTCTACTGGTCAATTTGCAAATGTCGACTGTACTTGAAAAACTGTACTGTACTGAGAAAAAAATTGCCAGTTCAAAACTGAAACGAACTCTTCAATTATGAAACAATGCAACGCAGTTAGCGTTCGGTAAATTCACATTTGAGACTCGTTAAACAGTTAAAAAATATACATTTCCCCTCTCTCCTCTACTTCCAACGTTCTTATAGTCGAACAAGATTCTTCGATATGCCCGGGTTTAGATGTGACATTCGAGCTTTAACTCGTACGCCTAGATAAACTTCTCTCATTGAATCCCTTGTCGCTGTGGGACCAACGTAACAAGACACACCACTGTTTTGAATCTGTAATGGCGTGACACATATATATCTCAAGTAAGATGGCTTCTTCAAACACAACAACTGGAGAGTGGCCCCCGCTAACAGATTCGACGTATTCACGAGAGCCGATCGAATATTCCTGCCAATAATAGCCACATAATCAGGGTGAGTATTTTCTAAATATATTTTGTCAACATTATTCCTCAGCGTCATGTTTTGGTAAAGCAGTGCTTTAAGGGCCACTCAAGTAGAACAGACGTGTCCACCTGATTATAAGGAACTCTCTATAGGCTCTCAATGAATTCTGCCTGTTGAAAGTGTAGAACAACGCCCGTCACAGTTTAAAAAAACTGGGGGGGGGGGGGGGGGAGGACAGAGCATTATGCACTAAGAGCTGCTAATTATTTGTCATCCACCTTTACCCATCGGCTTGTGCACATTACTTTCAACACGGTCCCGAAAAACTATGAACCACTGATCTAGGGCAGAACTTGTCTGGCAAGACAATGTCTTTGAGACATTTTTTTAAACCTAATAATCTTTCCAATAAACCCACGTTCTCTAGCTTTTGTAATTATGCCAGTACACCACTTTTGCTCTAAGAGGAATAAAAAAAAAACGCAAAATGTGTCCGATTTCACGTTTCGTGGCTTGCAGCTGGCGTTCTCGGTCTGGTGTTATCAAAACACGTGCCCACTTCGGTATCCTGTGGTCACACACTTTTCGATTTCGCGCAAATGTAATTCGAAGTGTTTACTACATTTCTTTCGACGCCCGATTGACCCCTTTATTGAGTGTATGTAGAAAAGTTCAGTCTTTGCCCGGACCTCAAGTCAGGTTAGCCTTTATGCAGCTTGTCCTTAAAATAAACCTGGCTTGACTTAATGCCGTACAGTCTTTGTAGTCACCATTTCACGTCAACGCCAACTCATCCTGTTCTATAAACATCAAAGATGTGACTCTGAATAACTTGCAAGTAGTTAATATAGCCAGCCCCTAATGCCTTTCCAGAGCGTTCCTTCGATGTACTCCTTTGCAGAGTTTGTACATCGATATTTGTTCAGCTACGTATGCTCTTATTAACGATGGCCTGAAAAATACTGTCGTGAACAGGATTGGAAAGCACTGTCAGCCTAAGAGAGCTACAGTTCTTCCCAAAATTACAGAGGCCACAAAACTCTTGAGACAGTCAGCACCACCATTTCATGTGGTTCCACGTCACATGTCCCTAAGTAGGCATAGCGAGTGCGTTAGCCCTGTCTACAATCTCAGCAGCGTGAACATGATCATATGTTCACGGGCCAGCACTGTAGGGTTAGGTGAACTTATATAGTCCAGTCAAAACATTACAGAGAATTCTGTTGCACGTGTCGCAGCACAGAAGATGAAGTTTTATGGGATAGCTGGGGCGTGAGTATTTATGAAGGTAACCTTTATGAAGATTCGAATTCTATCCGTCAAAGTTTACATACGGAGCTTTATTCTAAAATCGCAGCTTAGTTGGTTTGATGTTTTAGTTATTTTTATCGCAGCCAGATGCACATTGTCTGAAGCAAAATTCAATAAGTACAACACTCATGTTATCCACAAGTCATCGGTGTAAATTTTGCTTTGATTACTGCTTCTTCTGTACCGAACGAATAATAGTAAAACAGCTTTCCCAGGGTTCCTACTCCAGGAAATGGTGTGGCCGTCCCCCTTAACTTGATCCTATGCCTCCCAAATTCAACGTTACCTCGACAAAAGTGACAATTGGAAATGAATTGTAGAGATTTAATGGTGAACGCTGCCATGTGCAGCGTACGTCCGCATATTATCTCACGAGAAGTCATTTAAAAACATCGTGGCAAACTATTTCGGACAAGAGTATCATGACACCAACACTTTCTGCAAAGACTGTACATTCAATATCGTTTCGTTCTTTGTGACATTAGCGAGGCAAGCAAGAGCCAGCGTGAATAACGACGATTTGACGTTATTTTTTTTGCCACGTTTCCAAACGTGGTACGTGTTTTTCTCTTTACGGACCAAAAGTGCTCCTAGCCTGATAGATTCCTTTGAATCATAGCTTAAGACGCGAACGTAGCGAAGCTTTGCGAGATAAATCAATTACGGAGCACATTGATTCAAGGAAGCAGCGGGTTCGGGAGAACATGTGAAATATGGCGTCATTCAAATATTGGTCACGAGAACTCAGCGTGCCATTCACATCTCGTCAAGCATACATCATTGCAAGTTCCACTGCACTCCCATCAAACAAGACAAGAACTTTGACCGTTTTCTTCTTCTAATACTTCATGTTTTGTCGTATTGCAGCCATAAGAAGCATTTAAATACATCATCTTTATAAAAGGTACCGAAAAATGTCTGAGTAGGTGCATACAATGGCAAGCTAAAATCGTGTGTCGTCGAACCTTGTTGCGAATGTGAAGTTTCTCTGATTTACTAGTGTTGCAGCAAAGCGATATCCGCTCGTATTATATCTTTCTAACACCTTCTTACGCATGCAAGTCACATATATCAGAACAAGTCTTTTTTTTTAGTTGGGGTTTCGACATAGAAGTGGTTAGAGCTCTTGATTTGGCTTGGATTCAGCATGTGGCATCAAACCTACGAGGCTTGTTTTATGCATAATGTGTTCGTAGTTGGTTGCCGTGCTGCCTATCAAGTTTCCCGCTTTTCTATTAGAGGGTCATCAGGAGGCTTTATGACCCAAAGAGTCCCAACACAAATCAGGCTAGTTGCGCAGCAGTTCCTACGCTTAAATCGGAAAATGATCTACTGATACAGCAATTGACATGAATGGAGAACTCATGAAATACCGTACATACGAAGAGCATCGCGACTCCAGGTCGCAGTCCTTGAATTTGAACTAATGTCTTTAGATGTCACCGTTATCCAATCCAATACAAGAAGTAAATTTTAAGAGAGCTGAATGTTTGACAGGTTGGTATTTCAGCCTTATTATCATCGTAAGCAGGCTGTGTTGTCTTACTTTCTGTTTTACCGCTTTCATTGGGATGCTTACGATGATAGTATTGTCTAAGAAGTGAAACAGAAATTTTCAAGCCCTGCTTCTCATGAATACTTCCTCGCCTCCTTGGTCAGTTTCTTCAGGCAGGACCACTGAGTTTTTGGAGTGATAAGGGAGTCATAGGTGAGAACGGCGCAAAAACATGAGACACAAAAACTGAAAACGGCACCCATTTTTCCGTTTTTATCGCTTTTGTGTTTCGTGTTTTTGCACCGTTCTTAACTAAGAACCAACGCCAACTCACTTAACTGTCAGTGCAACTGAATGATAATGGGAGTAATTGGTACAGCATCGGGAACTTGCAGTGCTTGATGCTCGACCAGCACAAGGTGCGATTTCACTCCACAAGTTCTGTGGACATCCGCTTGCAGCAAAAGGTCCGTCGGATGTCTGACTACAGAGCTCAGTTTTGTTGGCTTTATAGCAGAACGGCCATTGATTCAAGGTGAATCACCACAGCTCACCGACACGAAACAATGCCCTCTGTGGTGATCTGCCATTTCAAAACGATCTCTATGCATCGAAACTGGATAAGTTATGTGCAATGTATAGCTGTTTTTGTCATCTGGCCATAGCTGCGCGTGTACCAGGAATGATGGAAATAACGGTTCCTCGTCACTTGGACGAGAGTAACAATAAGTGTCGGGCTTTTACGTCCCAGAACTACGATATGACCATGAGAGACGCCGTTGTAGAGGGCTCTGGAAGTATCGGCCTCCTGGGATTATTTAGCGTGCATCTAAATATAAAGCCAGAGGCCCCTAGCGGCTTACCTCCACCGAAGTGTGGCGGTTGGTATTCGATACCGTGGCTTTCGTGACAGCAGTCGGGGACGACAACTTCTAGAGCACCGTGACGTGTTCGGAGAAGAGAAAATAAAGAGTTCCGAAATCACTGACGAGTTTTTCTATCTAGTTGTTTTGATCTTCAAAAGCGATCGTTTTTGCGAAGTCTATACACAAGTACACACAAAAATGTTCGATAATAAGTCAGGAGACAGCCAAAAGAAGTGCGTTAAAATCCTTATAGCTGCCATTGTCATGTGTCCATCTCGATACGTTTCTGTGCATGAACCACTGGGAACGACCCACCTAATCTGTCCTGATTCACTCGACAGCCCTGTTTGAAACATCACCGTGTACTTTGAATGACCCACGACGATGCGAAGCTTGAACTTTAAGCATTCAATAGTGAAGGTGTACGAGAGCCATGAACACCATAACAAGGAATAGATAAGAAGTTGTCAAAAAAGTTTCCCTAAAACCTAAGCTATGACAAGGTGGCATATATTCTTCAGGACTCTGAAGAAGACAAGCTAGTTTGCCCAAACATGTAGCTCCCAGGAGGCTTGCTGGTTAACAGCATCTCATATTCTATTCCGGAACCTCACTGTTTGCGAAGTGGAGGTGGTGGGCATTGCTGTCGCTCTCGCTACCTGCTCGTTTCACGCTCTGCTTTGCCCATCAGACACCGCAACGAGTCTACACCAATTGGCGCGAATGACTGGTCTTCTACAGCGTACAAGCCGTGAGCTTGTTTGACGCAGACTCTCGAGATGCCGCATGCCCGTTATCAGGGATTGAATACACAGCGTTGCGTAACTGAGTGAGCGTCGAAACATAAGGATAAACCTATTCAAACAACGTCATTATAAATTAGCATTTTAGTGATTCATCACCATCTTTGAACATCTGTGAAATTTTCGGGAATTAGGTTAAAAAAAAACTGTCTAGATTTCCAAGTGATTTTTTATATGAGCTTTGCTCAAAAACGTGATCGAACAGGACAAGTGTACTGAAGTTTTACTGATACATAGCTGAGGATTTTCCGACTATTGTTTTTTGTTCACGTGCCGGGATGTAGGCTTAGCCAGGAAACAGTTACGTCTATTTCCTTTTGCCTGATCTCGGCGCCATGTAACTGTTTTGGACAGATGTCAAATGAAGAGCATTATATTCTATATTATCATAGACAGGTCGTTTGGATTTATGCCGCAGTCCTAGTTCACTATATCATTTTTTCTTATATTCCTTTCTACAACTCACGCTCATTCAAGTGGCTTTTATAGCGGAACGAACGGCCTCTGCAGCGTCCACTGAGTGCGCCAACAAAACTAGAGCTCTGTAGACTTTTGAGGTTCACAGCCGGTCTCAGCGACACTTTCATACATTTTTTTTGCTTCCGAATTCTTGGCGCGTAGTGTTATGGTCTCTTCATCCTCGTCGTCTTGCTGTGTTGTTTCAATCCCGTTAGGCATCGTCGTCGTCCGGGGTGGAGGTTGGCGTGCGCGGGGGACTGCGGGAGTTCCTCTCAGGGCCTGGTCCTAGCCTTGAGGGCCGCAGCGCCCCGACGTGTTGATTCGTGGGCTTTCTTGACGATGGCCAGCTTGGAGTTGTGGTCGTGAGCGGGCAGGTCAACGTAGGGCGGGTCCCGGGTGCCGTGTATCATGAGCGTCCACTCCTTAAGGAAGCCCCGGGCTTCACCCTCGTCCGAGGAGTCCTTGCCTCCGGTTTCTCGGTCCATGTGAGCCTCGAGTGTCCAGCGACCACGCGGGTTCTCGCCCCAGGTGTGCGTGGTCATGAAGGGCCACTTGGTGAAACCATCATGGCTATCGTCATCGTTTGGTCGACGACTCAGGATCATGGACCTGTGTTGGGCACAATGTGAGAGATCAGCGAGGGCGTGTTCTAATACTGGAACACATTGGAGACAACCTATACGTTGACCGTTTTGGTGATAGCTTAAAAGGGTGGGGGTGGGGAGAGGTGCGCAGTTGGGGATTCATTAGCAAACGTAACAGCAGAGACACGCGGGACAGAGAAAAAGACAACATGTTGAATAGCCTCTTTCATATCTTCATGTCTCTCCCTCTCTGTTCGTTTGCGGTTACTTGTCCTAGTTAGATCACAACCTCGGAGACATCTATAATATAACACATCTGGAAAATGCAGCACGAAGTGTTACAGTACGAGAAAGAGTAAGAATTAGTATATATAGCTTCCGCCGAAAGCTTAAGGTAGGTGAGCTTATTAAAGAATGCCTCGAGCTCGAGTCATGCTCCGGACATACGCGACCAATGGTACCTTATCCTCGAAGTCAAGAATCTACTAGGCTTTTTTCCAAAGTCCCGTTGTTACGGTGCTGAATGACCTTTTGGAACAAGATAGCAGAGTTAGGAAAGGGCAAGTACAGAAACCACCTGGTCTAGTGGCCAAGGCACTCGGCTGTAGACCCGCAGGTCGCGGGATCAAGGTCCAGCTGCAGCGGCCGCATTATAGATGGTGGCGAAAATGCTTGAGGCCCATGTGCTTGAATTTAGGTGTAGGTTACAGAACCCCAGGTGGTCGAAATTTCCAGAGCCCTCCACTACAGCGTCTCTCATGATAATATGGTGGTTTTGGGACGTCAAACCCCAACGATTATTATATTATCTTGTCAATGAGTCTTGACTTGCCACATGTACGACTCACGCGAACTCCCTTTGGGAGTTATCGTATATATACTTTCGTCGGAGAATGGTGGGATTCAAAGGAGAGTTATCACGTCCTTTTAAAGGGAGTCATGTAAGTCTCAAGTCAGAGCCACCGGAATAAGTAACGCCTGCTCTTCTTTTTTAGGTTGCACCATAAAAGATAAACGTAGATTTTAGCAGGTCCTTTAGGAAAAGTTCGCAGTTGCTGTTTGAGTGACGCAGCCGCCTAGCCCTTCCCCCTAGGGTCCCTTCACGTTCGTTGCGAAAGACGGGCGGCTCGTTTTCTTTCTGCAAGAGGACTGATCGACGGCAGGACTCACTCAAAGGGTGACATTATCACATGCCCCCTGTGTGTGACGGAGATGGCTGGCTCATTTAATCTGTTTGAACCATGTTGACCACCAGTGCTTGTGCACTTTTACTCGCGGGTATAACATACGATGCACGGGGTGATGTTATCAATTCGGACTTAGAACGAGACATGCCTCTGACTAGTAAAAGGCCTTCGAGAGTGTCCGTATAATCGCTATCGCAATGAAATCAAGTAAGTCAACGATCGCATGCGCTGTGGTTACACTGACGACAGTGTGCGAATGGCCAAAAGTCCTTACCGAGTTCCCGACGGGGAGACCATAAAGAGCTTGACGTCACCACGTCGCGTGGCGTTCAGTGTGATGACGGCCTGGACGTGTTCCACGTAGTTGACCTCGGTGTCCGTGCCAGCACACGAATCCGTGTCCAGGTAGATTTTCAGGCTTTCGTTGGCTCGGAACTCGCTGCGCGGTAGCGAAAACAGCGTGTCACGACGTGACTCGGTGTACCAGGCTCCGCATTTGAACGTTCACCCTTCCAAATTCAAAGAACGCATGGAAATCAGTGTACTTATCATCGCCTTATGTACGTCCTATGCAGACCAAGCAAGGTGACCAAAGCGTTTTGTTACCAAGGTGCAGATACTATCGTGTCTGCACTTTGTCCACACGAAGTGCAGTTTTCCATTGGCTCGAGGCTTAAGTCTAATCGATGACATTGCTCTCACAAGGAGTTACTGCTAGTCACTTTCTGTCAGTCAAAATCTCAGTGGCTCTGAAAGCACAAACATTTCGTGCCGCAGAAAGCACCGACACAAAATTACACAACAGACGACATACTACCACTCGTATGTCGTCTCGTGTCTTATTTTGTGTCTGTGTTTCCTGCGCTACAATGAGTTTCGTTAGGAAGGCCATGAAGGCTTCTTGTCCCTGCATGAATTCACGAGCAGCAACAGTGGCTCATTCATAAAAGGCAGACGTATATGAATGATCGACTGTAATTTGACGCAACATTGTTTTATATTACCGTTATGTTACCTAGTTTAGCACTTCATTATTACGTGGGACACGCGTCACCGATTCAAGCATTTACCACCAAGTGAAGAGACTGACATTTGAGTCTCTATGTGACTACCGTGCACCACTATCACTCGCTAACATGGAATTGCACCAGTAAAATATAAAGTTTAGCCTATTGGACAAACAAAGGTGACCAAACAATACGCAGTTTAACGTAAACTAGTGTATATGCAATTGTTTTTCGAGAGAAAGCATCATTGATAAAAATGATTCCAAGTGTCTCACACTATCACTGTATAGGAGGAAAGAGCATCTGTGATGATGAAAAAGTTGGAATGTGATAGCTAGTCTCGTCTGGCGTTGCATGCCCCTTAAGCCTAGCACACTGCTTCTTAGGCCTTAGGCCTAGGACAGGGCATAGTGTATCTAGGCCCTGTCCACGTTACTTCATATCAGTCAGAGTCGAGTCACGCGAACGCCACAGACAAAATGAGCGCGCTATATTTGCGCCTCGAGCTACGCTAGGAAGGTCACGTGATACCTTTCACACCGTGTAGTGCTCTCGCCGTGATTTCATTGACAAGGCCACCGTGCTTTAGACTCTACTTGGTGCGCAACCAGTAGGAAAGAGCACCGCTAGGATCAACAGACTATAGTCTGCAAGGAACTGCGCTCTTTCCTGTCTCCCTCATTCTTTCCGTCTTGTTCCGCATGAAGTCGATCGAGCCTACAAGTATGAATAAACTAGTCTGCAAAGAAGTATTGTCGCCTTCCCATGAGAGAGATAATGTTGTAGCCTTAAAACATTACGGCTCAAAGATCGTGTAAGTAACAATGTTTCGAAGTACTGCGTACCTGTTCTTGACGTACGATCCGGCCTCGCAGTGGAAACGCGCGGGCACCGTCTTCCAGATCTTGGCCAGCGCCACCATGGCACCGGCGTCCAGCACGCCGAAGCCAAACAGGTGGTTGAACTCGAGCCCGACGCCGTTCATCTTCCAGTGGAATCTGTTCTTGCTGTCGTACAGTGAGTTGCGCTTAGACGTCAGCACGGTCAGGTGTTGAATGTCCCGCCATGTGAGGTCGGGGCTACGAAAGGGGGAGGGGGAAACGTTTTTGGTCTTACCATCATCGATACCTACTTCATCGCAAGAACTCTTCGCAGTGAGAGAGCGCCAAAGTGAAAAAAAAAGTCACAGCCCCACCGCAAGGGCGAAGCAGTGAATGCGGCAGCGTTGAAGTGGCATGTCATACGAAGCAAGGCTATAGCTGCTCACCTTTTTCGCGAACACGATGGCTGCAGTAAGTGACCTCCGTGTGGTCTGCATCTCGAACGCAAACTAGGCGGTGAAAGCGCAACACGTACGAACCTAACCCCCGAAAAATAATCGAGCGAGCACGGGCGACCACTTTCTGTATATAGGTCATATTACGGGGTGAAGGTGCGCATCTCAACTCCGGTGCAAGACGAGTGGGGCAACGACCTTTAAAGCGCTCTCTTTGCGCCATCCCGATGGCGATAGTGAACGAGCCCACCACGCTGAAACAGCCCAGACCACAGCGTACCGCCAGCTAACTGGTGTAATATGATTAGCTCGTCTTGAAAAAAAAAATTCTTCTGGAGGAAGTTTCTGTGGGTTTTTATGTGCAGGGGGTTTCAAAAATGAGTTCGCAATTCTCAGAAATGAGGAAATTAAATATTTGTTTGATGCCTTCCCAATTACATCATCTGTAGCAGCACGCATCTTAAGTTGGCTAAAAATATCGTTTGGAACACTAATTTAAAAAGTTTCATTAACTTTTGATTAGTGCAGTTGAGCGCTTATGTCAACTAGGAGAATTGAAGTACTTCACGCGAAGAAACCACCGAAGCTTTGAGATTTCGAAAAAGCGGTTGATTTGGCCGATGGTCGAAGACGATGTCACTGGAGATAAGAGCCAGAATAGATTTGCCAAAAATTGCGAAGATCAGTGACCCGTAATCAGTACTATAGTTGAGTGAGAGCAAATACGCTAGGTCTGGGTGCCGTCATCATTCATCATTCACAGACAGCAAGTAAGTACGCGAATATATTTTTTCGCACACACAGAAAAAAGTATACGATGCGCGGGACGATCTTATCGCACATGGACTTTCTTTCGAACCTCACGGCAACGACAAAAAAGTGCCTCGAATGTACATGTAATTGTCAATGTAAAAAAATAATCGAATTGCTCGGATGGCTTACTTTGCTTCCAGTGCAAGGGCGAATACGCCGGCGGCTTCGGGCGCGGCTGCTGATGTCCCCGAATGCGTCTTGGTGCACTTGCCGTACAGGTCAGTCGTGGCCTGCGAAGCAACAACGTATACCTCAAAAGAAGGTCTTATTCTTCCATTGACTCGAAATGTGCACATACTTCAACAAGCTGCTCATATTAGGATTTGATACAACTTTTGACAGATCGGCAGTCATCAGGATGTGACGAGAAAGCGTACGTGAAAGCCACAGCTCCACATTCAACGTTCAGAGTGATCTGCGTGAACGAAACAGAAACTCAAAGTGTGCCCTATGCATTCGTCCAAGGTTACTCGCCGGTGAAAGCCATCTGCTTTGTCTTCTCAGTCGATTCTTTGTTTCCCTCCTCGACCCGAATATTTTCTGCAGCCAACGCTGCTTTGCATGGCCTCGGGGACCGGATGCATTGGAAACTTTCTGCACCTCGCGTGCGTCTGGGGTCGGCCCACACATGAAAGCGGGACGGCGTCATGTGATGACATCATTACGTTATCTGACGTCACTACAATACATCAACCTTGGCAATCTGTGTCGTCATGACGATGGTATCACACGACGATCTTTCGCATCATTGGTGCAGACGCCGAGAGAGAGAGAGAGAGAGAGAGACAGAGAGAAAATTAACTCTATTGAAGTGTCCCTGCTGGGGTCAAAGGTAGCAGGAGGCCGGGAGACAGGCCCCTCTGTAACCCCCTTCCTCAGGCGGCGGCCAGGCCTTGAATGCTGGCGGCGTCTTCGGCCAGCTGGACAGCCCTGAGCTGGTCCTCCTTCGAGGTCGTCGCTTTTCGTGCTTCACGAGGCTTGTAAGACCTCAAAACAACGCTTGCTCCCACGGTAAGGTAAAAGGAGGACTTTTCCGTTACCTCACTGGCGCAGGGGAAGGAGCAGTGCGCGAGTGTTGCTGCCCGTATACAACAGAGTGACACAGCGGTTGACGCGAAAGGAAACAAGTAACACGTGTTGCCAGTCATACACGAAAGACAGGCGCGCACGTACCACTCCCGTGTGCGGGTCCTTGGCGCCGTTGCTGAAGGTCGAGGCCAGGGTGGAGGAGCAGGACTCGTCGTAGTGCGCGTTCTCTCCGTCGTTGATGGCCGAGTTGATGGACACGGTCCACATGGAGGCCGCGTATCCGTCGCAGTTGCAGTCGTCGTCCTCTCCGCCGTCGCCAGACGCCCACACGTAGATGTTTCCCAGGCCGCGACGACCCTGCAAGTGCGCGCTGTACACAGCAATGTTTTTTGCCCCCGTCGAGACCTGTGAAGTGGTTTTTTAAAAGAATTTCGTGCGTCACATGCACCTCCGAGATCGGCGACCACGCAAAGCATTGCTATGCTGACGGTAAGTTATGTATTGTACTTTGAAAGGGACCCTAAACTGAAACAACGAATTGGTTCACGTGCATAAACAGCACTCTGAGAAGTCTAATGTCGCTTAGATTTATTATCATAAGTTTATTAACACAGAAGAATATGATAAACAAAAAGTTTTTTTTAAGCATAATACACCAATACACTCCCTACTTCACGAAGCATGCGCCAATCAGCATAGCAACAAGTTTTCTACTAGTTTACCTCATTGACTCCTCGGACGATTGCCCGCATGGTGGCGTTGCGGGGTCCGTCGACCGTCTTCCCGTCATCGGTGGGTCCCCAGGAAGCGCTGTAGATGTCGATCAAGTTCGGCTCGTGGCCCATCGAGTTGGCCTCGATCAGATCCGTCATGTATGGCTGGTCCAACATGCGGATGCCTGGGGACATGTACAACCACGTTACATCCACTCAGCACTTACATAGAGAAAAAAAGGGGGCCTCAAACAACAACGTTACATCGACTTCTTAGACTTGGCGTTGAGGCAGTGCCTGCGTACACCCTCAGCTAGGTTTGCCGCAACATACTCTCACACTAAGGGAGCTTATAAAGTACTCACCGCTTTAGCTGGACTCCTACCACAGAGCTTTCGTTCCAGTCCATACTGCGATAGTTATCCCTACCGATACTATAGCGTAACATATCTGTTCCGCTTGACAAACGCCATGAGATGTCCCCACTACCCCAAGATTACGCACTGACAGGCATGCATGGGCAGTGGCAATCACGCCGGTGGCTCAAGTAAGCGTGTTGACAATAGAACATCTACTGTGTTCATGTGAACGTTTTTCGAGCGAACGCAACTTGCGACGCGAAACGTTAGAGACCCTTGACAGTAGACCTTTCTCCGAAGAGAAGATCTTTGGTTCATGGCTGTACGCGTCGCAGGCCGGAAAAGCGACGCGAGCACTGCTAAGTTTTCTAAAGACGACCGGACTACGCGACCGCTTATAAGCGTGCAATGGACAAGGTCACATCTACACAGACGTTGCCCTTCACTTCTCTCTCTCTTCTCCTTTAATCCCCTCACCCCTTCCCCCAGTGCAGGGTAGCAAACCAGACGTGCGTCTGGTGGACCCCCCTGCCTTTCATTTCTTTCCTTCCTCCTCCTCCTCCTCCTTGGCACGTGTCCGCGAATTCATTATTCTGGTCTTACTAAGAGAAAACTCTCTTATATCTATTTAAAGATGAGTGACTAAAGCCAATAGTACTTGTAGAGACTCTGGTGCAATAAATAAAAATTAAACATAACTATTTAAGAAGCAGCCGATTGGTCGGTGAAATTATGACTGAAATAATGAAATGTATAATTGAAAGGCTATACCAACAAAGTTGTGTATAAGCGAGAAACTTTCATGGTAAACTCAGTCACGTATTGGTTAGAGAGCGCACGTATAAAGGAGACATTTCTCTGAATCATAGCAAACTCAGGCTAGCCCTCGGAAACACCAAGAGTCTTGCTCTTACTTCCAGGGAGCCTCCACGCGGCCCTCACACAGTTGAACGTCTCACGCCCTTAGCACGGACCCAAGAAATTAGAGTGTACTGTAGTGAACGACACCGTTCTTATTTTGCAGGGGGGTTGTCGAAAACAGAGGAGTGCGTCCTACATTGCACAACAGAACATTACGACTGAAAAATAAATGGAAAGGGTTAGTACTGTGGCGAGAGGGTAGATGCTGGTGGTCTGGACCTGCAAACTGAAGCCTAAATTAACCCCTGTGCCCCATTCCGTCCATCGTGGTTAACAGCGCGAAACACCCGGACAGGAGCGATAGAAGGACACAAGTGAAAGGACAAGTGAAAGGAACAGGGAATGTGACCATTATCGGGGACCAAGTAGTACCAGACAAGTTTCTACAGGTCCTTCAACTAGGGCCCAAATTCTGTCTCGAGCCGCGTCTGAAACAGCTGGATAAGGTCGTCTTAGCCAGGACAGTGGCTCACCGAGCTGAGGAGGAAGACAGACTAAGGTGTGTGTCTGAGTGCGTCGATGTGTTGTTGAAACCGTCGAAGGATTCTAGGTGTTCGAGAAGGTTAGGACCTCTGATTGATTTCTGTGCGGATAGTAATTTGCGCATTCTAGAGTCTGACAAAGAAGGACATTTTGTTATTATTCCGGAAAACTTGTATTTGGAAAAAGCAACCACAGCAATGGATAAGAATTTTCGCGAAGTTTCCGTTGATCCCTCTAAGATTAAATCACGTGCTTTAGCTTTGATGAATGAGGTTGGATTAACGAAAGTAGCAAACGAAGTCAAGCGAGAAAAAGGGCTCCTTCTGCAGGCCTTCTTCAGTGTAAAGACGCATAAGCAGAACTATCCTTTCAGGACCATCGTCTCGGAAAGAAGGTCATGGTTAAATGTTATTTCAGGGTACTTGCAGACTAATCTCGCACAGCTTAAGCTGGAGGACCCTTTCGAAGTCGCCAGTTCTAACTGCGTAGTTCAAGTTCTGCAGAATAATAACCCTGGCGGTTGCTTTGGATTCAGCATAGACATAGAAGATCTTTATTATTCCCTGCCTCATGTACAGTTATTGAAATTCGTGCAACAGACCATCGAGGGACAAATGAATGAGTTAGGCTTCGTCGAAAGTTGCAAAATACCGGTTGCTAGCTTCCTAGAGCTTTTGGAGTTTTACTTGAAGTCCACGATCGTTCAGTGGCAAGGAAGGACAGTTATCCAAAGGGCAGGAGTGTGCATAGGTTCCTGCGTAGCGCCAGTACTAAGCAGCATCTTTTTAAGTTTCGTTGACCGCAAAATAAATGATAACCTAGGTGAATTAGCTTTGAGAATTTTCCGCTTTGTGGATGACTATTTGGTTTTCGTCAATAGGCTAAATTTCCAAAGATCGATTGTGGACGTCGTAAAGTTGTTTAATGAACAGGGACAAGGTCTTAGGTTTACTATTGAGGTTCCTGAAAAGGAGGAGTTGCAGTTCTTAGACCTTAGACTGTCTTTCAAAGCGGAACATGTGTGTTGGACCTATCAACCGAGGTCAAAGAAGTCTCTTCTTGATTTCAGATCAGGGCACTCGAAATTGATTAAACGAGGTATAGCCACTTCCGCTATAAGGTCCGCCCTCAATAAGAGTTGTCCCCATCGTATGCTTGACAGCGTTAACTATCAGGTGGCGAGGCTGCGTGATGCAGGCTTTCCTCACTCTATCATTTCTACGACTTGCGATAAGCTGCTGCGTGAGGTCAAGGGGCAGTCCTCCCGAGTGAAAGAAAAAGATTTTAGCCGTTCTGTCTACATTCCATATGTTCATTCTTTTTCGCACAGATTAAAGAAAGTAGCATCTAAGTTCAGATTAAACGTTGGGTTTTCAAGCAGAACGAAGCTTAAGGGACTTTGCCAGGCAGTAAACACTCGCATAGAAGGCAGGAAGACTGGAATTTATCAGCAGTGTAGTATCAAACATACTATGAAGTTTCTCCCGTGCATGCAGAATGTCGTGTACTCAACCCCATTTTCATGCGGGCGAGAGTACATTGGTCAGACCGGGCGTTGTGTCAATATACGGCTAAGGGAACACCACAGTTCCTTGAAAGGATTTGCGCATTCACATTTGTCTTTGCATTGCCGCGAATGTGGATGCCACCCACTTTTTGAAAAAACAAAAGTACTCTTCAAGCACCCAGACAAGCTTTCAAGAGAAATTATGGAGGCATTTTTTATAAATAAGAAAGGGTCTCAATGCGTTAGCCAGCCGTCTATCGCCTTACTTGGTAGTGAATTATCTTTGTTAGATAGTGGCTAAAGTTCATTCGTCTGCTCATGCCCGGTTTTCTTGGCGACATTGGAATCTTATAGTTTGAAGTATGTGTTATTTTTGTGGCAAGATTACGTGCACATGACAAAGCCTTGTCGCCGTGTATAATTTTATCGATTGAGGGGGCTGGTTTGGTCACGAGGTCTTCTGTTCTGTCTATATATATATTCTCGTGTTTTCAATAAAAATTTCAGTTGAAAGTCAGCGCTGTACCGTGTCCTTCTATCGCTCCTGTCCGGGTGTTTCGCGCTGTTAACCACGATGAATGCTCACCAACTAGCCCAGTTTTCCATCTTGCCCATTCCGTCCCCCAACAATACTAGAATGCGACACTGCTCGACAACTTATAGAGCTGAAGAAGCAGCAAGCTTTGGTAGAGCGGGCTCGAGGGCTTGGACCAATGACGTCTCAGACTAGGGCCGTCAACCCTCCTGGCGGGGATAAGGAGTGTCTAAGATCACTTGCTTCAATGAATGTTTCTGCTGCTGCTGCTGTCAACCGTGTTCACTAGTCTCTAGTGCAACCAGCTTTGTCTTGCCGTCTGATGCAAATAATAATAAAGAAGAGGCAAGAAGAGCAAGCTTACCCGCCACCTTGGAATCGTAGGCGACGCCGACGCCACACACACCGTTGTCTCTCTTGGCAGAGACTTCGCCGGCGCACCGTGTGCCATGACTGCGATGAAAAGAGAGAGTGATAAAGAGAAAGGAAATGTTGAAGTAGCGGCCAGAAAAATCGAGCAAGCATAGAGCTCTGCCGAATTTACCCAAAGGTTTAAATGTATCCGCTTTTTTTAACCACGCAATACTACTACTACTACTACTACTACTACTACTACTACTACTACTACTACTACTACTACTACTACTACTACTACTACTACTACTACTACTACTACTACTACTAATAATAATAATAATAATAATAATATCAGGGATTTTACGTCCGAAAACCACCATATGATTATGAGAGGCCCGTAGTGGAGGGCTCCAAAAGTTTTGACCAGCATGGCGTTCTTTAACGTGCAGCCGGCATTGCACTGTACACGGGCCTGTACCAATTTTAACCAAGCAAGACTACGGGTAAAAATGAAAGCAGTGCTCATGATTGCCACAAGATCCAGCAAGGCGATCCCTAAGAATAGATCAGGGTGACCCTAATGTAATCCCGATCTTGAAACAAGAAGATTACACAGGTGTCAAACGGTCACGTTTGATTACGATCGGGCCTTGATTAGATAGAAGTTCTTCATCATGACTGGCTTCCTTCACGCAAACTCTAAAAGGCAGCGAATCACAGCTGATAAATCTGATTTCGGTCAGCCTTAATCGAGATTTGCAGTGCACCGTGGGACACTATGGTTGCACCAGGATAACAAGGTGACGTGGATGAAACGCTGTTCTAGAAGCAAGAAAATTACGCCAGAGTGATCAGGTGGTCCTGGTGTAACCCTGATGCTGAAATAAGATTACATCAGCAAGAGAAAATAATCCTGATGCAATGTTGTTTAAAGTTTATAAATATACTAAGTCTAGTATTTTTCATTATAAGGCATTAAACTGTCTGTTATGATTTTACTCCAAGAGCCATGTTGCCTTTGCGATTGTGGTTATGAAATAATCTTATGCGTTGACAAAATCAAGTGTGTACATTACGACATTTCATTTTTATCATATCATGTATTTGTTATTTAGGATACTTGATTATGGTTTTGAGTTCCTGACCGAAATTCTGTCACAAGGCTTGCTGACATTTAGACAAATAAATAAATAACAATAAATAAATAAATAAATAAATAAATAAATAAATAAATAAATAAATAAATAAATAAATAAATAAATAAATAAATAAATACAGTGTACGATGTACTTAGTGTGCCTAGCGCAGTCACAGCAATAATACTGTGAAAGCTATCTGGCTGTCACACGTTAAGTCGACGTTCTTGAGCTAACTAAAATTTAAAATAAAACTAGGTCAACGCTTGAGTTGTGCTGCCGCGAACGACACCGGCACTCCAAGGTAAGATTATGAACTGGCATCGCTTACAATGATAGGCAATGTTCTCCACTAGTTCTTAAAGCATGAAATGCAGTGTAGCTTACGTGCAAGCTGCTTCTCATTGTAAAAAAAAAAAACAACAACGAAAACTTCAGGCAATGCAGGATGTTTAACGAAATTTGTTTGGTCCTAATTAAAAACTTCAAGGTGAGAACATCCACAAAGAACGGCGCACGCAGTGTTCCATAACAGATTTCCTAGCTCTGGTTATCTCCTCACGCTCGTCTTCCGTCCGTTTCATCCTTCGCTTCAACGTAGACTCGGGAGCCAAAGTGCAAGAGGTGACATAAAAAGCGACATGAATTCCTGTCTATGCAATCTCGACAGCACATTACGCTTTCTATCAGTTGGATATGAACCTTAAAGTCATGTAATGTCAAGGCAATCCAGATTGAGATCCAATCGCCAGTCCTGTACGAACTAATGCTCGGGGTAGTGAACTTTCTTTTATGGCACCTGTCCGTATAAAACGGCTGGTAATAATTTCTTGCATTTAATGTACGATAATTACGACGTCATCGCGAGGCACGCCGTTGTAGAGGGAAACGAAAGTTTCGACCACCCAGTGTGCACCAGCACCGTGCAGTACACGGACCTCTAACATATCGCCTGCATTGAAACACGTCCGCGACGTCTTGCAGCAAACCGACGACGTTCGGGTGAGCAGTCGAGTACAGCGGCGGCGAGCGAAATGAACCAACGCAGTCTCCCGATGCGTACCTAAACCGCAGATCAGCTCTTGTTCAGTTCAATCAAAATACAGAATTTTCCTCCCTCCTTCAATTCTAAAGTTAGAAATTGTTAGAGTTGTCTTGTTTATGTTGTTATGTACACTTTAGCGATTTGCCTGCGTCATTGCACCTTTTGACACAATCGCGATTATAGATTTTATTGTCGTTGGGCCCGAAGATCGCATGCTAAAAGATGCTTGTAGTAGTACTGTACAACACCTTGTGTTTTGGAGTGTTAGTTTCTTTTTTTATGTAACAGAAAGCCTGCATCACTACATACATTTTTTTTTTGGACCCAGGACTAGCCATGGGCTACGAGTCCAAGCAGTCTGGTGATCCTTTGTATTTTATGATTCAACAAATAAAGAAAAAACACGACCGCTTTGTACCTTGTCAATTTATTCGAATCGTAGGATGCTGTGTTGCGCAATTTTTAATATTGAAGCTGTCAAGAGGGAAAAAACAACAACAAACAACCTTGATTGACGATCCCTCTTCATGGTAGAAAAGTGAAAAAGGAAAAAAAAAGCTTTATACCTTCGCTGGCGAGATCGCGCATTCGTCGCCAGTTTGCAATAGAGTCCCACAGAGAATCAATCGAGTGACGTGACATCCGCTGCCAATATAAACGGCTTAAACATACACTATACGGCACGCTTGGGACACGACACGCTGCTTGGTGCGTCAGTGGATCTTGTTTCGCGGCAATGAGTCTTGCTACGGTCGAAACGACTGTCCGTTTGTGCAGTCACGGTCAGCTTAAATGGAAACAAACTGGCGGCAGAGCTACGAGTACTGGGGACGCAGCCTGGCGGCGAGAACGGAAGGCAGCGACGAGAGAAAAGATGCGTACTAGAGAGGCTAATTCCCACGGTGGTCACGTGATCAAAGCTTAGTGTAACTTGTGATGTTATTGATGACGTGAACTGAGTGATGTCACTTACGTGACTTGCATGAAGGTAGGGTAAGAAAGAAAGTGACGCCACTTGATGACGTTACTTAAGCTTGATAGCGATACTATGTGATGTCATACTATTGAATGCATTCAGTTTAAAAAAAGATGTTTTTGTTTACGTAAGAGTACTGCTTTAGCCTGGCGTATAAGGTTGATATGTTATAAAGAAGAGTGCTAAGCGTTGTCTGAAGGAATTATATAGGGGGCGGGAATAATTTTTTCAACTAGCTCATCAGTACATGGTAAACATTCGTCAGGCACGCTGCCCTCTTGACTAATCAAGAAAATAAAATTAAACATCGAATAATGACGTCACAGATCTCCATAATTTGTTGCATCATCTGTTGCTTCACGCAACGTCGCACCACGTGACGTCGTCTCATGAATTCAATCCACGATCCAAGCGGAGCCGTTCTCGGAAGGTGTGCGAAAACAGGCAAAAATTTGACCGTCGACGTCAACACGAGTGATGCAGAAATGATCGCGTGCTGGCGTCACCACATGGAGCCATTACGCCGCCACAATCACCAAGACATGTGACGTCATCATGGCGTTACTATGACATGATCCCCTGACGTCATTGTTTGGCCAATGGTGGGCCAATCACGGAGGCAGCGGAAAAACAGCTGGGGTGCGAAAAGCTTGCATTGCCTGAAATACCGGAGGGAATGTAAAGCCACGTTTCATACAGTTTTCCTACTGGCGGAGGATAGGGATCTATATATGGACTTAGAAGAAAAAAAAAAAACATGGCTTTCGCCTTCGTGTCGCCTAGGGGAATGCGTTTGGGACTCAGTGATTTTTTTTTTTGTTTTTGATTTTTATTCAGCCCAGGCGGTCCCTGAATGTACGTTGTACGTACGTGCCAGGCTACTAGGGCCGAGTCGACACCGTTAACTCCTACCAACTTGGCGTACGGCGTCGGGCACTTCAGCGCCAGCATGCGAGTGCCGAGAGGCAACGACTGAGACGCTGTTAGCCCAGTTCCTAGCGCGGCACGGAACGCGAAACAGGAGGCGGCCGAGAACGAAAGAAATAAGAAGGAAAGAGAAAGAGAGAAAAGAAAAACACTGCACATAACACAACACACGCCTCAGGAGTAGAAAAGAGAGAGAGAAAGAGTGTTTTCCGCCGTGGACCATTAGGAGCCTGGCTTCCGTGTTCGAACTGGCAGGCACTGTTCGTGCGAGGAATGACTGGCGGGGCCCTCTCTAGTGTGGCTGAATATACGAGAAATACCGTGCAGTAACGATGCGCGTGGGTAAAGAAAAAGATATGCACAAAGACAGCAGGCAAATAAAAACAATGAAGAGTATGAGAAAAGAAAAAAAAAGTCAGAGAGAAGGAAAGAAAGGAGGCAGTAAAGAAAAGTAGCATACATAATGAAAAAAAAACTTCAACGAGTTGCACGCCGTAAACGCGCGACTGAATGAGATCACGTGCTCTCGTGTATCTGCTGTAGATAAGCTCGAACATCATCATCATCATCATCATCATCATCATCATTATCATCATCATCATCACCACCACCACCACCATCATCATCATCATTTCAAGCATCAGCATTCAGTTTTGTTTATTAACTTATACGCTGCCACATCTTGTTTCGTGACCTGCGTAATGCCTACTACTACTACTACTACTACTACTACTACTACTACTACTACTACTACTACTACTACTACTACTGCGACGACGATGGTACAGGGATGAGACAGCTTTGATAAAAAGAACAGATAAACAAAAAATGAACGAATAGGAAAGAAACTTAGCCTCTGTACGTGAACGCATGAGGCCCGAACGAAATAACAGACGGATCCACACGGGAAGAAAGGAATGGAGGTGGATAATAAAAAGTGTGTGTGTGTGTGTGAGAGAGAGAGAGAGAGAGATAGAGAGAGAGAGAGAGATAGAGAGAGAGAGAGAGAAAT